CGCTTCTTCTTTCTGTGTGGTTCCGGGAATTTGATAATGTTCATTTGATGGAAGTCTTTGCAGTCGACTTAATTAATCCTAGTCAGCTGACAGTTCTTTATGAATTTTTATGTTCGGTGAACAAAGTGACTGCTATCATATTACGACGCTGCTTGAGAGCCCGGTGAGAGATGCACGAGTTCGTACGAACCGTCGATAAAAGCTTACTTGTTCATCAAACGAGCGTAGTTGCTTAATTGTGGTCGGATCTGTGTAATAGAGAATGGCGACCACCTTATCTTTTAAAGATAAATACCTTGAGCGTCGATAGTACACACGAGGAAGCTTTGGGAATTGGTTTTCATATTTCTGTGACCAGACAGTAATGCCGTGATATGAAGTTGATGGAGATGAGATTTTTAGTCCACTTCGCATTGCCCGTGATGGCAGCAGGATAGTCGTGAATATGAGGCAGCGGAGAACGATGACATGCAGTTTACATAGAGTCATCAGTAATCACCAGTTAGACGCCAGCTATTTAAGTACTTATTAGGGTCCATTTGCAGCTGGAATGCCCACTCTTTAGTTGAATTTGTTTTTGGACAATCTTAGCTGCCGGTCTTTTGAAAATACAAGTGGTCCAGCAGTAATGTTGTAATGTGTCACCTTGTCGGTTGCACACGCTATTTGAGGTCGGGGTAGGTATAGTTACAGGTACCTGTCGAGTGTTGGTTGAAATAACCGGCGGATTATTTGTTAGCCCGTGACCTGGTATGAAAAAAACTAGAATATAACTCTACTAAAAGACTTACTTGGGCAACCAACTTTACTTATTGATGTTGAATGTTTTAGCACTTTTAGTTGAGACTATTAGTTGCTGTTTTATTTCATTTTAGAAAGTTTTTTTGAAAGTTATTGAGTTAATTTTTTATGTTTGAGCTTCTTGAATGTCTCGTAACGACTACGTTTCTCCTGAAGATGCACTGATCAAACCACACTTTCGTGAGACTCCAGTGTGCAGACCAAAAGGATTCTGGTCATTAGAAAGAGTGTAACGTTATGCCAATGAGGTTTATATTACCATTTCAATGTCTTCGTTAGTATCATTGTCCTCTTGTGTCATTGAATATCTTAGAAAGAAGATTCAAGACCAGGGATCATTTAGGTTGATAGTAAGTTCCCAATAATTTCTCGTCGAAACAATAGAACCTCCCTTCGTAACCTCTATTTTGCAGACTGCAGTCAGTTTTAAGTCACGGATTAGCTCAAAGTTCTGCAGCTCATAAAATATGTGTGGAAACTCTTAAGCTGTTTGCTAGTGGCTTTGAATGATTTTCATTAGTCTACTTTCACCAGTTTTTATTATTGAGCGTCTAATTTCAGAAATTTCATGTAATTTTCCAAATTGCCTCGATAAATTTGAACTTCCGAAATCATTTCCTCATCTTCAAGTAAGGGTGCGGACTGTTTAGACCAATCCCGTAACTTAGATACAGAGAAAAAAATCTTTACGACTGAAAATAGTCACTCGACGTCTTTCATCTCACAAGCTGTCATTCATATAGGAACCTGATCACAATTACATCTTGTCCTCGACCGAATTCGTTCAAAATATGTATACTGGTAATCAAAAACATCTTTGTAACTCGACAATAAAAAGAAAGGCACTTGAAAGTATTGGGACTGAGATTGAAATAAGTCTACAATCCATCCAAGTGTCTTGATGCCTTATGATCTAAAGTATGACGCTAACTGTGACAAAAATGCCTTTCGAGCAAACCGTCCACTAGTAATGATGAAGCACATCTTTAGATAGGTTGATGGCGTAACGTTCCGTTCACACTTTGGCAGTACTGTTCAGCTCCATTGAGGGTATGGAAACATATCAATATATCAATAGGGAAAAGAATGAACTGGAAGGTATTTAAAAGTGAGCCTAGAAATCAGTTTGGGGATCCAAATACAAACATTATGAGGAGCGCCTTATGCCACTGAATCCTTACCTCTTATAATATAGACGTTTTACAGACGACTTTCCAACTATGTAGAGCATCCCAAATACTACTATGCAACGTTAATATACCTACATAAGCTCAGTCTGAACACGGACCTTGGGGTGATATACAGAAACTATCAGTCTAACATAAAAAAGGAACTACAGAATATCTACTATTGACGACTATTCATGCTCTGGAATTTTGTACCAACTGAGGTGGTAGAAGCAACTTGCATTTAGCCCTTCATGAAGAAATTTGACAATTTCGTGAAGACTCATGACGATATTTCAAAGTGATTTACTAGTAGTTCTCTTTCAGTCGTTGAATACACCTACATTTCTGTCTGCATTCATCAATAATCCATTGCTAATAGGCGGGAGTTGAGAGAAAGCCCTTCTATTCCATCACTATTTGTTAGGCCAACTGTGTCTGATGTATGTCTCAGAACGTGAGTGTTGTGATTACTACTTGATCACTAATTATATCTACCTCGCTTATTATCACTGTTTCCTCTCTTCGGTCCCTTTGCAAATACGTCACCACCGGTTTTAGATCCATTCATTTAATTAGTTCTAAAATATTCCTCTTACTATCATTAGGATGTTCTCCCTATTATTCTTTACATTACAAATAACCGATTTCCGGCCTGGAAACGTGATAGCTGCTGGTAGCCAGAAACCTTACTGCTCTGAAACAAACGTATTTATTGGATAGTGGAAATCACGGGACTAACAAACTGCCAACTGACTAGAATAAGTGGAGTTGAGTGGCCCGACCAGCATACATTGGACACTGCCAGGCACCTGTCCTTACCGCTAGAACAAGGATCGAAAGCAAAGAAACCAATTAGTTTACACTAGCTCGTGAAAAAGATATTGAATATTGGAGTGTCATGACAACCAATAATTGAAACGGTTTAAATATGAATTTTTTAGACTCTGGTTCTAGTTCGTTGAGAATTTATGTATCTGGACCAGCCTAGTTTGTCTAAAAAGTATGGCAGCATTGGGTTCCCGACACAGAATTTTTTGAAGCGTTCCGTTTTGTATTGCGTTTTCGAAAAAATGTAGCAGTTGCTAACTAACTTCCAGCAATCAATGTATTTACTCATATGTAGGTGGAGAATTTCTGCAACTCTTAAGCAAACCTACCGTTACATGGTAATTTTAGCGGTAGAAAGTAGTCGAAAATCAAAATCCGTTTGTTAAAACTGTGCTTACATTGCACAAGTGCATGACTGGTTAAAAAAACTTGATTTTATATAACCTACAACCGTCTTAGTTTTCTCATGTTCATTACACGTACATTACTAGCTGAATGAACTCAGCCAATTATCACACTCTACATAACACATCTCAAGTCTCCTAACTAACCACTATTTCCTTTGTTATTTGTCTCCTAGACCTCATTCTCGTATATTCGTATATGAATTCCGAGAGTCCGTCTCTCTAGTCGATCCTCACTTGGGTCATTTTCTCTCGAGAAGTCAATTATCTTTTATGGACAAGCCGCTATAATGCCTTAATGCGTATTTTTGATAACTTAATGTAGTATGGCATCTTGAACTGAACTGTGTGTCAATTTCATGTAACCGATAACTGAGTGACTAAAATTTTCACCGAGCATTTTCTCCAAAAAGTAATGGAGTTTAATTCATCTTAGTTTCCAAAACGTTTGGCAGGAAATGAGAACGAGGTATGTAGAAACATACCTGAATGAATCGAGAAGTGACAAGTTTTTATTCTTAACCACAAAATCAATTAATTCTAGAAGTTATATAAATAGTTCATGGGAAAGCATCAATACAGATAAAAGTATTTTGAGAATCCAAGTAAAATGCAGTAAAATAGTGTGACTTTTTCACAATATATATTCACAACTAACACAGAAATTACATATCACACAGACTCATCAACTAGTCAAGAGTCTATATATTTCATAAGACACACCTGGTTCACTCTACAATGGTAGTAATTTTTGAAACGAAAGCCCTTTAACCATCCGCCTTTATATCTCTCAAAAATTTATCTTCTACCGACTTAATACTCTTTTTAAATGAAGGATATAGATTTCAGACATAATACTTCCAAATAAATCTACGAATGAATAAATATCTCTAGATTCAGATCTTTTTAAACTATTTATATCTTTAAAAAAAACTCACTATGCACAAACACAAGCAGTATAAGAAAGTGTCCTTTACATATAAATAAAACAAAACTTATTTTAATATAAATCACTAAACAGACAGTTAGATAGACACAATAAAGAACATGTAACATATGTGCATTAATTCAAATTGCCATACCACATTAGTACTGAGACAAAAATAATTTCTAAACAAATACCAGGATAGTACAAGTAGTAGAAGCAGAAAACGATAGATACAGAATAGAAAGAGACCTGAAAAGACAGTTCTCAAATCAGGTTCTAGAATAAAAAAACAAGGAGTGAGTGTACGTACGATATCGTGTCTCAGTTCAATCAACGTCTCTAATCGGTGATCATACATACATTGAAGAACGGAAGATTTAAAATATAGTTTCAGTTTCAACCTAGACTGTTAGATTTTTTTTCTCTGGTTACTTCAAAAAGCACCAATTTTTCATCTCTCCTGGCATCTTAGTTTGTAGCTTCAGACTAAACATTTCGATGCTTGGTTCAAACCGCTTATACTTATTAAATTTAGAACACCTATGTAATAAATACTCTTAATATGTAGGTAAGGCTCAGTAGTAGTGATTGGTCGACATGTCAAATACATGTGACTCATTTGTCATAATATACCTACTAATTGGGTGGATAACGCCTTTTTTAATATGAGTTCATTTGAAGTACAGTTGATTAGTCACTGGCTATAAATCTAATAGAACGCATGTTACTTATATAAAAAGTAACATTATTTTACATATTTAAGTTTTTCTAACTATTTTTTAATCCTACATTGTTACAATTTACATTTTAGATACATTTAAAGGCTTTTACTTGTGTAAATTGCACAAAATTTTGAAAAAAATCAATCAAGATACTAAATTTCAGTCTTTTATCACACACACAAAATGGTTCAGGTATTTCGTTAAAAAACATTCAACATCCATTTTATAGAGATCACAAATTGAAGCCTATCATTCGCTAAAGAATAAATCTGACAATGATAACTTATTATGTATTATTGAATCGATAATTGGTGGTCTTATGCTTGAACAACCTAAAGAACCTATAAAATATATTAAAAAACGTTTGATTGATACAAAACGCATTAAAGAACATGATACTATCATACATAATGAATTATATGCATGGCCATATCATCCATTATTGAGTTCATATAAATCTTTGACTAATAATCAAGAACATGAATTTTTGAAACATTGTTTTTATTATCGTATTAAATTTTTACAAGATAAAAATTTGTCACTTGAAAATACTCGTGAAAATGAAGAATTCGAGAATTCATTATTCTCATTAACAGAACTTTATTTAAATTCATAAATGTATTCAATCATTGTATGACTTGTACGTGTAGATCACTTTGTTTTATTTTTGTATAGTCAGATCTCTATTTCTTTTTTTAGTTTGGTTTTTTATAGATTTTGTTAAAATTTTATAAGTGAAGTATTAGTTATTATGATATTTTATAGTTTAGAATTTATTATTTTTATAAATAAATATTTAGTGTTTATGTTATTTCAACGGTCTTTTGATCTGTTAATTAGTTACTTACTTACTTTCCCTTGTTATTCGTATTGGATAGGACGCCGATAAGCATGCTTCAACCTACTCTCTTCTGGCGTTTTCTTTTCTAGTTCTGTCTAGTTGTTGTTGTTGTTGATTTCTCGGCATAATGCGTTTCTATTTGGACTTCCTCCTTTCCTTTGATCTTGAAGATCGTTTATGTAGCAAATTGGATGACTCTCCCGGTCACTCCATATACATAAATTAATGGTTGTTCTGGTTTTCATAAGGGGGATCGATCTCGTGACTTCCTAAGGAAGCTATCATCATGAGACGTTATAACTCTTCTAAATGAAGACCTTCTAGATACCACGGCAGAGTTTAAAAGGTTTGAAATATAGTTTTCTGGTTAGCGTTATTTTAGCGAGTCAGTTTTCTACCGGATGGGTTCAGCACTCTCATGACCAACCCTCCTCCTTTATCCAGGCTTGGCATTGGCAGTAGTTACAAAGCGGCTCCAGGTGGAGTTTTCAGTCTGTCAGTATTTTATTTTATTTAAACACATAACTATTGGTACATATGAGTAACTAAATATTTATGCGCCACATAAATCAATGAATTTTCAAGTGAACTAGAATACCACGCGTGTGCTCAAACCAAAGCAGGTGGTTTTCGTATGAGACCACACCCCGAGCCTTTGAACTAGAGGTCTAATCCACAAGGCAATGAAGCAACATCAGGAGCTTCAGTCATAAGGTTCATATGCCACCTGTTTGCTCAGGATCCTGCAGCATACGTGTACTGTTGATTTGGAATGAAGGTTTCTCAACTCCTCTGGATAGACCCATGTCAAGGCACCGGACACTAGCTTTTCTACCTTTCAGTTGCGTAAACAATACCCGTGCTAAGAGAAGGTATTGAGTAGAACATCCCGGACAGAGGTTATATATGCATGACCCCATGAGAATATTTGAAGAGGGATAGTGGAATTTCCCTTTTCTAAGCCGCAACAAGGCATTTTAGAGTACGTGAAATTTTTTACTTCTTTGTTGAAATAGAAAACCTGTAATATGCAAACCATAATTTATTAGGACGGCGTAAATGTCTGATCACTAGTTTGTTTTACAGTAATCAAAGAGTGACATGTTCACTGATTTCTTTTTGCAACGATCGCAGTCAGTTTTACAAAAGCAGAATGAACCATAAAACAAATCACCTACTTACTTACTTGCGCCTGTTACCCTTAATGAAGCATAGACCTCCAGCCAATAACTTCCAACGTACTCTGCCATGGGCCTTTCTTTCCAGTTCTGAACAACCGCCGTTGATTATTTTCATGTCTGTCAACAATTTTCGGTACAGTGTGTTACTTAGTCTTCTTCATTTCCTCTGGCTTTGAGGATTACAAGTTAGGAATTATCTTGTGGAGCAGTTTGATTATTTCTGCTGATGGTGTCTGAACAATGGATCCGTAGTGTCTTGCATAGAAAACTGTATCTTGTGGATAATAACTTTAGTAGTTCTGCAAGTTTACGCTTAAAAAAATAGAATTCTGTTCATCAGTGTAATGAGAATTGTGACTCCGGTGTTGGTTGATAGGTGTTTTGACTTCCAGATGTTCTTCCCTTGCAAAAATCCTGCTCTTTGCTTTTTTAATCCATGTCTTTACATCAGCAATAAATCCGCCTTGTTTATCAATAATGCTGCCTTCATCTGTATAGGTTTTCTCATCTTCTACAGCTTCTCTGTCAGGGGTAATTTGGTTGTTGTACGTTGTGTTGTACAGAAAGATCTTGTTCCATTTCCTTACGTATGCTGAGACCTACTACTGCAGAGGCTACAGATACACTGGTCATCTTCTCCTGCATTTGTTGTTTCGTGTGAGATAGAAGAGTCAGATCACCTGCGAAGTTCAAATCGTCCAGCTGCATTGGATCTGTCCATTGTATTTCGCGCGTCTTCTAAGATGTTGACATTTTCGTAATCCAGTCAACTACCAGAGGAATTAGGATAGGTGATAGTGAATAACTTTGTCTGACACCAGTCTCCACTTGAAATGACTGTGAGCCGCCCTTCATGCACGATTTTATAGTGTATTCTATCGTAAGAATTCCATAGGATGTTGAATATCTTCTCAGGTACATTGTTAGGATAGTCATCCAATATCGTAAGAGAATTATTGGTCTATTCCTATTGGTTATTTCCTACTGGACACTTTTATGGTCGTCCTAGATATCAATGTAACATAATCCAAATGTTGTTTCCTATTCTACCTAAATGTATAGATATGCATTGTCTGTAGCGTTTTATGACCAGGACCGGGACACGGATTCTTAGTCCGGGATCCTGATTCTCTTCTGGATTCGGCCCTCGTACTTTCTGGATGCTTGTAGAATACATCTTCTACTTCATATCAAGTCTTCTTATTTTTACTCAATATGGGGTTGGTATAATCGGATTTGAGTAGCATGTCGTGTCACCGAATCCTCGATCCTCGCTCCCGTTTTCCGACTAGGTAAACTTGTAATAGTTCAAGTATATCAAGTTGACGTGTTTACGTGCAGGCGTAACATACATAAAATAAATGGCAGATGAGAAAATTAGTCCCACGCACGATAAACCATTAAAGAAGTAAACATATGTTATACTATCGAAATTTATAAGGATGATATTTGATTGTAAAACTTTAAAAATCTCAATAAATCTAATGTCAAAGAAACATTGAAGTAGTGTAAAGGATGTTCAGTTTACTAGAAGAGTTGTTGTGAATTGAAGAGGAGTTCACTTTACTGTTGTTGTCAGTATTGAGATTTTGAAAACTTAGGGTGATCAATAATTTCCTTTTCATAGTCTTTAAATCAGAGAATAAACAAGTTTTGAATACAGCTACCACCACCTCGACATATTGATTGGACTGTTGTAATTTGATTCCATATTGATTGTAATACCTTTCGTTTCACATGAATTTATCTCAGACATGTTGATGTTTCTTTTCAGAAAATCAGTATCACTAGAGTTGTGACCTCTTAATAATAATGACAAAGAGGGATTAAAAATGATCGACGCATAGATGAACTTTCTTGATGACAGCAATGCAGAATAGGTCGTCAATACCACTACTAACCGAATTTCATTCTGAAAAAGAATTGTTTCTTGATTTACGAGATAAATTCCATGATTAATTGTCGGGAAATCAATAAATCTGTGGTGCGCGCTACTTATAAGTAGTATATGACGTGAGTGTAAACGTAATGTCTGGTAGCAGAAGATGGGGGGAAGATCAAGAAAGTAAGAAGAGTGGGAACACAATGGAATTTGTATGAAACGCATGAACAGTGAACTGTCAGACAATGGATTGATGATGGATTGAAGATTTGCAAATTAACCGTTTACGATATGGTTTTCCTATTTTACTGAGTAACTACGTAATACAATTCGGCTGCCCTCACCTGTCTTCTCCTTCACTACAAATCTACCGAAAATTCGGTAGCTGTTAACGAAATTTGCATTGTGGGGTAGTGTTAGACCACCGTTAGAAACTTGGAAGCAGTGGATGGCCGTTTCCTCCTGGTGAGCAGTCAGCTTCCACGACGCCTGTGACTAGCAGAAATCGAAACCAGAATCTTCGATGGAAGTTAGACGTTTTAATGACGTTGGTTGTCAGCTTATTTGTCCAGCAGTTAAGCACTCTCGCGCACGACTGAAGGTCCTGGGTTCGATCCCCGCAAATTTCAAGAGTCGAGGATTAACACAGTTGGTGAGTCCTATACCAGAACGAAACGTTCGTCCAGGTGGTCTAACATTGGTCGATTCATGTTATTAAAATATTTGTCTCTGTTTTGATGCAATGAATTGCTGTCAACTATGCTTAGTTTCTCAGCCATTAAACAATAATAAAGTGCAAATGTGAAGAAGAGAGACACTTAGAACTGCATACCAATCAATGTATAATATAACGACACAATTTCACTGTTATGCCTGAACGTAAACACGTCAACTTGATATATTTGAACTATTACGAGTATACCTTAGTCGGAATACGAGAGCGAGGATTGAGGATCCGGCGACACGACATGTTACTCAAATCCGATTATACCAACCCCCCAGATTGAGTAACAATAAGAAGACTTGATATGAAGTAGAACCTGTATTCTACAAACATCCAGAAAGTATGAGGTCCGAATCCAGAAGAGAATCAGGATCCCAGACTAGGGATCCGAGACCGGGTCCAGGTCCTAGGCCACAAAACGTTACAGATAATGCGTATTTATACACTTTGGTCTAATAGGAAACAACATTGAAGTAGGTGATATTGACAGTTAAGGTGACCAATAGGAAGCAACGTTTGAAGTGACATTGATAGTCAGGACAACCAATAAGAAACAACATTGGAGCACGTGACATTGATATCTACTAGGACGACCATAAAATTGACCAGTGGGAATTAACCGATAGGAATAGACCAATAATTCTTTTAGGATATTGGATGAATATCATAACACCTCCCTCTGAAGAAACTGAAGCGAGACACGACGGTATATTTGGATCTGGACTGTTGTTTGCTGCTGTCGGGGAGGATATTTCTGGAACGGAGATGAGGACCAGTCTTGGGAACTTCTGAGCGGGTTAGCTTCTTCTTATATGCTTGATCGGGCATCTGCTAATGTTAGCTGTTTGAACCAATCTAACAGATTGATTTTAGATCGGCTATCGGACTGAGCTGAAGTGAGGTGGACTGGATGTAGCAGGGGACACAGTGTTATGTTCGTCACTAGGTACGCTTGAAGCTATTACGAGTTCACCTTAGTCGATAAACA